ACTTTTTAGCAGGGCCTGTTGCGACAGGGCAAGGGAGAATGGCTTTAAACTAAAGGGGGGTAGATACAGACTAGATAGAAGGAAGACATTTTTTACGCTGAGGGTGGTGAAACACTGGCCCAGGTTTCCCAGAGAGATGGAGGATGCCACATCCCTGGAAACATTCAAGGTCAGGTTGGACGGGGCTCTGAGCAACCTGATCTAGTTGAAGATGTCCCTGCCCATGGCAGGGGGGTTGGACTAGATAACCTTTAGAGGTCCCTTCCAACCCAAACTCTTCTATGATTTTATGAATTTATCTCAGCCTGCTATAACACACCTATGTCTCAAGGTTCATCCTATGTAGTCCCCGCTCCTTACTTGGTTTAGGTCAATTAACTCAAAGAAGGTACATTAGAAAAAAAATCATACAATTTCCTTGCAGCTAAACAAGTAAAACCAGTAACTTACCCCCACTTAACAGCTTCATAACCAGCCAAAGTTCATCCTTCACCACAAAAGATGTGTAATAGGTCACCACATTGGGGTGATTGCATTGACTCATTGCTTGAATTTCTTTCTGTAAGAAATACAAAGTCCAGCGTAACACAGCCAGCTATCAGTTCTGCTTGTATAGAGAGAAATTTTAATTTCCAAAGTGAAATACTAAAGTATGCACAGAATATGCATCAAAGCACCAAAACATTTCAATTGACTTAACATTTCAATAGATCTATATGCAAGACAAAACATTATTGCAAAGAACACAAGGGAGGCTTGGCCAGGAGATACAGGCACAACTACCTCAATTTTCTTCTGAGAGCAGCAAAGAGTTTACTGTTGAAGTCCCAAATTCAGCATGAGCAATGAGGAATGAGCAGTCTCCCAAGAGCTGAAGGTGTGAGTACAGGCTGGACAACAAAACGCAAGGAAAGATCAAAACCTACTGCCCTTCCTGTTCAAAAAGGATATGAAAAGAGTAGAATGGGAGCAGGTAAGAAAGGAGGAAGGAAGCTGTCAGACAAAGGACACAGCACCACTGGCTCAGCTACGGTGGGATGGACAGGTGGACACCAGAGCCACACAATCAAACAGAAGTGCAAGAGGAAAAAGCAATGTTACAGACCAAAAGTCAGAGGAAACAATTGACTAGAGGAGCACACAGTCACCAACAGATGCACAAAGTGGCACTACCAAGTAACACCATCTATGACACGCCACAGCTGTACACATTAAGAATGACTGCCTTGTATCTGTTATTTCAAGCAGAGTCCTTTTTCTATTCAGTCTTTCACATAATTGTTCTGTAACACCTTTCCAGCAGCTCTCATTATCCTGCCAATCCTTTATGTAGGAGTGTTTAGCGCTCCTTTGTACCGCAGGGTTTGGCCTCACACCAACTTAAGATCCCACAACCTTACTTCTCCCTGTCCGCCTCCAGCTACAGAGCCCTGATCCATCCCTGGTGCCAGAGGACATGCTCCTGGAGGGTGAGTCAGTCAGGGAGGTAATCCAGCTAAAACCTAAACTCTTCCACCTCCCCTCCCTCCCCAAAAAGCAACTGCTTTCAGGTGGACCCATACTACGTGCTGACTCAGCAGCACTGGCAACAAGGCAGGCACTATAGCAGTCCCACTTAAATTGATTAAAGCTGCCACAGATGCATTTTCAACTTTCAACCTCAATTCAGCAAGTGTTTGAAAGAGGGGGTTTTTGTTGTTCTTATTTGCAATGCACTTGAGATCATAGCCACTTTCTAATAAAAAGTTAATTGTATGTATTAAACACTGTGATTTAATCCCGTGATGCCTGTTGGTGACTATTAAGTCAGGCTGTAGATTGACACACACTTCAGCTAGTCTTGTTGTCAAAAGTCCTCCTCCCTACACAACTTCTGAGCCCTGAACCACAGAAGGATGAATGCCTGGATAGTCATGCAACAAGCCTGAATAACTGAGCAATTTGCAAAATAGTCCCCCCACCCCCCCCAGGAGACAGTAAGTGGAAAACAGAAGAAATATGTGGGGCAGATTTCCCTTTCCCAGCAGACATGTCAGCTGAAATGCAAGTCAAATTACTACCTCAGGTTCTTAATTCAGCTATCTATACCAAATCTTAACTGTAACTCTCCCACGCTTTATTACTATTTCATTTCTTATATTGGTTTATTGTTTTCCTATGCTGGTAATATAACGATGGCTCAAAAAGTCTACCTGCCACTACTGGGCAGAAATACCCCTCATCTATTTTACTCACACATTAATAGTGCAGAAATGTAACTAATTGACTGTGGTAAGCTTCACAATCTTTAACTGAAAAGCGCTTTGAATATTTTGTCTGCCTACATCAACTTGTCAGCAAAAATTGAGCTATCACAGTAACCATGGCCAAAGGCACCTTGTGTCTCAGCTTTGGTGACTTCTTCCAAAGAGAGTCTTTGCAAAACAAAAATAAACAAATAGAAAGCACCCCATGAGAGATAAGGGATTAAATTTTAGTCAGGAAAGTATGAATTTCAGACTTGCAGTTCTGGAGAGCCCCTATCACGCACAGAATAGTAAGCCTCCGTAAACTTCAGTTATTTGGCTGAGGCCCATAATATGCACAGGTAAGAGAGAAAAGCATTCACTTAAAATACACTGTCAGAGGAAAAGCTTGCAGCAGGACGTCCAGGAGAACGCCCTGGAGCCTTCTTCACATTCACATCACTTAGACATTCAACGGCACCAAAGCCATAATGGCACTTAAAATTTAAAGTCTCTCCCTCACCCCTCTGCTCCCCGCTTCCTTGTACTAGCACAAGTGTTTGTGCACTGCAGCAGGAAATATGTCCAGGTTAAAAGCTAACTTCTTTTCGGCCAGGTTATTCCTGATCCAGTTTCACTGAGCAGCTGCACAAAAATGTGTGTCGGCCTAAGGGCAGGTGGGTGACACAGTTAATAAGCAACTGTGAGACGGCTCCTTTTGGTGCTCAGCTGCTGCGCCCACAGGGCCGGGCCCAGCTCCCAGTGACCAGGCAGGTGCTGCAGCTCTGTGGGTGCTCCCCCGGGGCCTCCTCCACAGACACCCGGGGTACGGCTGTTTGAGGGGTTGGGCATAACACACAAGGGGCTACCCCAGAGAGCCTGCCTCGAAGGGCTATCCAGAGCAGAAATGCAAACAGTTTAGAAAATCTATTCAATCAAATAAGCCATTCTATAGAACATCCTTTGGTTTGTGGTGTTGAGTTTTTTGTTTGTTTGTTTTAAAAAACTGGAGGTAAGGGGATGGGGGAAGATACCCAGTCAGGACAATACTAAGGACAGGAACTTTTTCCTTGCCTCATGGGGTTAAGTTACATTTAGTTTACAATAGCGAGAACATAGGACATGGCAGGAAACAGAGTATTGAATTTCAGGAGTTTGGCAGTTTGTGTAACCTTAGTATTTAAACTTCCTCCCCCACTGCCTTTCTGTTTTAACTGACACTGGCCCAAATCCTAAGTCTGCTTATGTGGGCACCGGGCTTGCTGCATTTTCTACTTCTCTGAAGGCCACACAGCTGAGAATTTGTGAAGGGTGCCTTTGCACACCACCCATAAGCACTCAGCAGCAGGATTTTACAAAACAGCGTGTTCAGAGGGCAGACAGAGTTTTAGAACATCCCTGTGCCAATGGGAGCTGTTTGATCAGAAAAATAAGTGATTGAAAACTGAGCAGACTTAAAAACAGCGTTAAAAAACCCAAAACACAAGAGCGTTCTAAGTATTATCAACTGAAATAAAAATGTTAGTACAGTTGTAACAAGAGTTTAAGGTCAGTAACGCCCTTTTCCAGAATAACATCTCTATTTTTTTTTTTTAAACAAAATTTTAAAATCTATTAGAACTGAGTCAGAGTAAGTACAATTCCCCTCACAGAAAAAAAAAGAATTAATTATGTAAGTGTATGCATGTACATGTGTGTATGCACATATAAAAATAAAAAAAATCATACATGGCCTTTTTTTTTTTTAACCCTCCTAACCAGGAACTCTGAAAGCCAGAACTTATGTTCAGATCAAAACAGATCAACAAATAAAAGAAACACAAAATCTGAACACAGAAAAGCAGAAATTGACTTACGTTAAAAAATAAAAAAGATGGTATGGACAGTCTTCGTACCAAAACAAAGCAATATGGGACCAAAAATTCAAGACCTACTGCCTCATTTGGCAGGCAGTGGAGACATGTCAGAAGATACTCAAGCACTTGCTAAGGTAACTTTGTGCAAGCTGGTAATTAACTGCAGTCATTTCTCTAGACCACCTGGATATCTCTTGCAGATTTTTGGCAGTTTTGTCTGTTTTTATTTGCTGTAACTTTTTAATTCTTAATTCCCATTATTAGTTCAAATTCTAATCAAAGAATATTAAATTTTGACCATTTTATATTACAATGATTAGTTTTTCCAGTTTTATAGAAATGTTCTTTATGGGCTGTAGATGTTAATACATCACGCACAACATCTCACCTTGGGCTGCTCTCTTTCTAAACACAGTTCAGAATTTATCTTTTGAGTTTTTAGTTGACAGAAGTCTCACTACCTCAAAGGTAGCTTCCACTACCACAATCTTCTTAAAAAGCACAACAATGTCCCACACAAGCTGTTACATAAACTGAAGGCAAATGCTATCAATCACCAGGGGAAGAGCATTTTGGGTCCTCCACTGTAAACAAGTCATTTTATCTGAAGAAACTGGATGGACCATACCCTGTGTATCAAATTCAAGATATCTTTTGCACTGGCAATTCCCTGCTGAGGAGATCATTTCCTTCAGAGGCAGGAATTTCTGCATTAGAAAAAGCCCACAGTCTCTAGGCAGTAGTATAACCTGTGGAACAGAAGAGAGTGTTCTCACTTTTAGAATGGTTTTGTGTCCTTCAACTCCTGTTATGCTGCCTATATATAAATACACATTAGTCTTATAAGCACCTGACTAGGAGCACTAGAAAGCAACAGGTTTCATTTTTTAATAGTTCTTTGCGACTTTGTCTGGATTGCCATAACCAGCACAGAGGAAAAACTCTTGCAGTCCCTTTGTAAAAGGGCCTCTTACAGGTCCCTTCCTCCTCTGATCAGTGACACAAACAAACAGCATTCCTCAAATGGCTTGTTATGGCCTATTGGATAAATGCGTGTTATTAGCTTTAACAAGAGTTTCCTTGTGTAGATGGCAGCGTAGCCACTCCTACTTTTCCCCTCAAAAGTTATAATCACAAAATCATCCAACAACTAGTTTTTGCCATGTTTTGGTGCTTTAGACATTTTAAGGAAACCTACTAAATTTTACCTTTATATTTTTAATCAGTGTTTAACCAAAGGAAAATGTATCTTTCCACGATATTAAGACAGACAACCAGACAGTAATCTCTTGAAAATCGAGTCTCCAGAAAGCAAGTGGTAAGGTTCTTCCACAGTTCTCAACAGTTGGTTATCCCAAGATTCAAATTTGCACTTCTTGTTTTTGTGTCATTAGAAAATATACATTAGTAAAATATATTTTTAGGGGAAGGGCATACTTCTTTCGGATTATTTTCAAATCCTTTCCTCACTATTATCCTGAATAAAATTCTACCCTTACTCTTGGACCAAGCAAAAACCAAAATCAAAACAGAAAACAGACTCCATGTAGTATGTTCCCCTCTGATTTACTTACAAGTAATTCATCCATACTGGTTTGGCATTTTTCTAAGTTGATCCTCTTTATTGCTACGCGTTCTTGCCTGGGTTTGCATAGTGCTGCCTGGACAACTGCTGTAGCACCACTACCTGAAAAAGGGTAGAAAAGGAACACAGTCTTAATATAACAGGAGTCTAAACCAGTGACCAGCATAAGAACTCCACACTGATGAAGAACTTAAAATCTGCTGTTTATCCTTTTTCAGTGCTTTCCCCACAGGCGTACCTTTCCACTAGCAAGACAGCTTGCATACTTCTCAAATGGAGAAGAAAAACCTCAAAGTTTCTGTTCCATACTCCACAAATATTCCCAAGCCGAAAACTTAAAATGATGTGCTCATTTATCAAGTCACACCCACCACCTCAATGCATTTCATATAGTTTGGGAACCATTACACTTTTGTCTTTGGACACATCTGTTTTAACCAAGAACATGACTTGCACAGTTAACACAATTAAAAACATTACATGGGGGGACAGGGAGTGTGTGCTTTATCAAATGTTATTTCTTTCTGTTCTTTCAGGTCAGTCCCTGTTTAACCACGTTTTTGTTCCTCCTACTATGCAACAGAAAAATATCAGTAAAATTATACATGCCAAATCTTCTACAGTTTCACCTGTGTTCCTGCTCATTCATCATGATTAGGTTAACATCCTACAAAAAGCATGCTGATTTTTGTATAGAGCGCAGGAGGCACAAGTATCACACCAACAACAACATGCACACTGCTGAATAGCCCAGCAGAAAAAGTCAGTCATGCTTACTTGACACGCAAATCACATATGGTCATACAAATACACTGATAACAAAGCTTGGTGGAATTGAACAAATTTTGGGGAAAGCATTAGTGTAATTTTCTTCAGTATGCTTTATTTGCAAACAGCACGAGTAAAAGGTCTTGTTGCTACTTTTATCAAGCACCCACTGGCTTTGCCCCAGTCAGTATTGCCTCACTAAATTAATGAAGTGATTGCAAGTAATATTCATAAAGAGTTTTGCCCGGATTGCAGATCTTGCTGCCACATCAAATACAGCAGTGTGTGCTTCCTCAAAGTAATTACATCACACTCATTCATGCAGAAATCTAAAACCCCCCGATGAGTAGCTCCTACCTGTAATTTTAACTGTTTAACATAATGTATGGATTTCTGGTAAGTCACAAATTGAGCAACGTTATATTGGCCTGCTCATACACTATGTTCTATTTATGCTCAGTAATTGGCATGTCCTAGATGAATACAAATTGTGAACAAAAAGCCTTTTGTTGTCAAGCTCTACAAACGTGGATTCAGTTACCAGCCGACTTAAGAACAATTGAGAGCTTTTCCCTCTGCATATCTGAAAACAGCACCGAAAATACCTCATGACTGAAAGTTATTGTCCATGTTTTAATTGCCATTTTCTTAGCTATTTTCATGTATTGTTTGTTCACATGACATTTTCACTCAAATCACAAAGCTTTTTAACTCAGTGTATGAATTTCATCACAAAATTCTGAGCTCGTCTTAAAAAAAAAGTCTCAACAGGACTAACTAGTCATGTTTTTGCAGGATGCGGTCACAGACAAATATTGGCATGTCCTGTTCTGTCTGCTTACAGCACAAAGCCTTTAAAAATTCAAATAATGTAAGTAATAAAAGAATTAAGAGAGATTTTAAAAATTAAATAAGACATCCCAAGGAAGGAACCACCAAGTCGGCACAATTCAGCTTAAGTAAGACTCATCTACATCACTTTAATGAAGTTCTCATTTGGTGGACATTGAGACACAAATCCTCTTGTTACTTTGGATACACAACTGAGGTTGAGGCAGGGGGAAGAAACCAAATTTTTAGCTATTAAGGATACAGGAACAAAGACCAAGATTTTCCTTGATGTATCTTTTTCATCTATGCCAGTAGTTTTATCTACTTGTAGGAAACAACTAGATCTTCACTTTCAAAGTAGATTAATATACAAAGGCCACATAAAGGACAAACATAAAAAGCACACAGAAAAATTATTCAGCCAACGCCAGGATGAAATCCTGACTGCTTCCTCAAGTTAAAGTAAAATGACAGTAAGTAACACTTCAAAACATTTTGAAAAAATTAGACTACAAAAAAAAAGTCCTGTCACATCCCTGACCCCACCCACTATATCACTTGCTTAAGTTCTGTGAGACCCCAAACCAAAGACTTACTACTTACTGCTTACTACTATTTAAAAAACTCTTGATTGCAAAATTAATCCTGAGTTATCCTTATGCACAAGTTGAAGATGTGCTCCTCTTTTGCCTACTTAAAGAGGATGAGATGCAAGATTTTAGGACATAAACTAGAGTTTGAATACGTATATGAAAAGCCTTTCAGTGCATTTCCCTGTGTTTTCTTCTCAGATAGAGATGACTTGCAGTGGGATATTCTTTACCACGAGAATATGATGCACTGACAATGCAAAATGCTTTCTATGTTTAGCCAATCTACCTTGGTTTCTTCTTTCTCCTGCCTTTTGAATACGCAATACAGTATTTTGATAGTAAAGGAAATCTGTGCAGCCTGCGTTTTCAGTGGGACCTACATATAAAACCCATTTGAAAAAGCAGTTTCAAGTACTGAAGTAGGAGCCAGGCACTTAATGGCTCTATGCCTCCTTCCTCTTAAAAGATATTCCCCTCTCTTCCTCTGGCTCACAAGGTGAACAACCGGGGATAAAGATGAGGAAAATCTGCAGCTTTCCCATCTGGTCAGAAGACTCCTTTTGTGTCAATAAAGAGATGCCCTTCTCTAGTCTACTAAACAAGTAGAAATGTGAAGTGATCCAGAGGAGTAGCTGTTATAAACAGGACTACCCAGATAAGCATTTCAGTCGAGAGATAACAGACTACACAAGTAATGCACTATCATACAGTGAAACAAAATTGTCACAGACAACCATTTAGCATAACAAATTAGGGTCACAGAAAATGATTGCACAGAATAGGTTACAGTCAACCATTCCTTGTCAGAAGGCATGACTTCTTCAGGTATGCTGAACCTTACGAATTTTCCAAAACCTAACCCTCACAGCAGAGAACATACTGACTACACCACAACTAAAGCACAGACTGGTTTTAGCATCCTGTATCTATTTAGAAAACTGACCTAGTATAATGAAAGCTCAGGTTGGATAAACCATGAAGCCTTTACATCCAGCTGCCTCCTGCACAAGACCAAACCAAAAGATTACCAGTGGTCAGACTCAAAAAAACACCTTTGTAAGAAAGATGTTTTTTTTTCCCACTACTGGAAAAGTCATTCTCCTGCTACAGACAAGTTCTCTTTGCCAATTTCAAAAGTTAGCAGTGAAATAACGCAATTTCAGTCCACATCAAGTTGCCTATTGAGAAATGGGAGTAGTAGGCATCAAATCAGAGTTTCATCTTGTCCTCATGTTTTTTGCTGCCATCCTTCTCTCTAGTGTAAGCATGCCCTTACAGCCAACCTGTTCCTTCATACTATGAACTATGCACTCCCTACCATCCTGCCCTCAGTGCAGCAGAGCCGTAAAATTGCTTTTAACTATTTGGGTTCATGCAATAGAAACTTCAAGAGCTATTCCACATGGCCACACTTCACTTCTTCTGAAAGGATATAAAAGCAGTTTTCTGCATTCCACTTTGCACATGCTTTGTGGAAAGCATATGAAAACACCACAAACAAATACTCATCCAGGATTTAAGCTTAACTGAGTACATTCCTTCAAGTTGTTCTAAATCTGACATAAAGGCATTTTTTCCTCTTTTAAAAAAAAAAAAAACCACATAAACAGGAATTTAACCCTCGCAGAACCTGTCTCCAGCTGGCAAAGAGAAGAAGGATCTCTGAACAAGTGTGACCAACAACTGACATTAACATTTTAATGTTATCTACCCTCCACTAGTCAAGTCTCAAAAAGACAGACAGCGAGGTGAGATGGCTGGACCGTATCACTTGCACATCGCACATGCACACATCCTTCTTCATACAAGCATATGACACTTCATTTATTCCCTGTTACGTTTAGAGGTCTGACACTTTCCACTCATTCATCACAGTGCAGTAACTCTACTCAAAATAGATCTAGAGCTATTCCTTCCAATTTTCTTCTCCTCAAAAACAAAAGTCAGTAACCTCATTATCCCATAATGATTTACCAAGTCTTTTTTCAGTAGTTCAGTGTTACTCTACAGTATTCCAACACAAACCTCTTAAAGATTTCTGCATTCATTAGGTCCCTTCAGAGACTTTACCCAAAGACACCTTCCTCAACCCCATGGTTCTTCTACCTAACCTCTGAAGAGAAGGATGTAATTTGTTGGTAACGGTAAGTTCTCTTGTTGACTAGGTACCTGAAGGGTTAGACAGCAGTCGTAACTGGAGAACACTAAATACCTTATCTCAGAATCTATACAAACTCTTACATACTGACCTACACCATCTGCATTTTTACACACCTCTTCTGCTCTCCCAACATATAGAAACCTCCTATTAAATGTAGCTGATTAGTGCACACAAATTTTAAGTCAGCCTGAAATCCAGGACTAAATTGTAAAAGAAGCCAGTACTAAATAGAATAAAATCTATGAAAATGGATGAAGCAGATATGAAAGTATTTTTATTTAATCGTTCAGACAGTCCAGTTCTGAAGAACAGAGTCCCCTAGGTAATTCTTAAATGCAGCTCATACGCAATGTAACTGCAGGATTCCTTTTGCATAGAGCAGAACGCACTTGTGCACACAAACCATGCCTGCACAAATGCAATCTAGCTTAGGTTTCCACTCATAAAAACATGTGGGGGTTTTTTTATGTAGCATGCAAAGCATCTGTGCTTATATACAACCTTTGAAAGCTATGTTGTATGCATTTTGCATGTATGCATGCAATATTGTATAGCATATTTCCAGCACTACTACGTATGAGTTATGAACTGATCAGTACTTCAAAATATTCCATGGCAGCCTTGTCCATAACTAGTCTCTTCAGTCTCAAAAGAATCAATTCTGTTGGTGGCAAAGCAATACTTTTGGTTAAGAAACAGAGAACAAAGAACCTTCAATTTCTTTTGGTTTCTAGCTTTTACCCCAAAATATTCTAGAGATCTTTCAGTATTACTCATTTTCTTTCATATTACTTCCACTGATTAAAAATAAGTTATAAATCAGCTCATTAAAGCACATTTAGACCACCATACTAAACTATAAATCTTTCTGAAACTTAACTTCTTCACAGAAGATAAACTCATGATTTCTCTCTCCATCTTCACACGACATAAATGCTTGTGTTCTTAAGACCTTCAGGATAACCATGCAAATAAAATTTACTAACAATTCCTGCCCACTCTGGGCTCTTAATTCATGCTGGGATCAAATCTCTCCCTTTAGAACTCATATGGATGCTAGTTTGTTTATCCTAGCCATTAGAAGTATGACATAATTCACTTAAATTACACTAAGTGTTCTATGAAATCTATGCCCATAGTAGAACTGCTACTTCTACATTTTCATCATTCAACAATTAATCTCATTAATTCTTCATGGAGCTATACAAAATGAATTTGTTCTGCAGTTGGACATTTTAAATCATCATCATTATGGCTATAGAATCCCTGGGTTATTCAATTGTTGTATTTACCTTTTTGTGGGACAGTAGCTTACACAAAGTCTCTGAGGTCTAGCTTATCCCATACTACTTTTCAAAAGCACATTGCATAATCCAGAAAAAAACTCTCCAAAGATGATAAAGGTCTACAAATACTTGTGATCCCACTGAAGTCTTAGAGAAGTAGCCTAAATGTCCATCTCAAAATTATTATGCATTATAGAAAACCTATAAGAGAATTTCTATGCAAGCCTTGACCCAACCTGTACTAAGGCTAAGATACCGCAAGCTTGAGCATTAACCAGACATCATATTCTCCATGCAGGAAAAAAGGGCAGGGGGATTCACAATCAGCAATAAAACCCCACATACAAGAAAAACAGGGGCAGGAGGGAATGACTAGGCTTTTTGAACTATTCTCTTTATTCCCCCCACCCTCACTAAAATAGTAAAAGGACTGGTTATATCACATGTTTTGGCTAGATAAATTAGGGGAAATATTTTGAGGTTTGCTATGCAGTACTATGTTACAACTCCCTCCCTCTCAAATCTGCAGAACAGAATAAAGAAATTCTTCAGCCACAAGCACATGAGAACAGGAATCTACCTTCTTGAACCCAGAGGTTTCTAGCATCAGAGTACAGCAAATAACTATCAATCACAAACTAATTATTCAGGACATAAGACAAATCAATACTGTGCAAGAAAGTGGAGAATCTATACCGATGATCTGGAAAATCTGAAAGTCTTCCTTCCCTCCACCAGCGAGCCCAGACACACTATATTGCAGGAACTCTTCTGAAATGTCTGCCTTATCTAAAGACTAATCAGCTATCACCACCAGCCATGGTTAAAAGAATCTTGAGAGCTCTACTCTGACTGACAAAGGCATTAAGAAATCTGTGGCTAGAAAGTGAGACCAGACATACTTAGATTAAACATAAGTCTATTTAATAGTGACTGTATTCAGCTTTGAAATAAAGTATCAGCCTAAGCGATGGCTTTTTGCTTTCAGACACTTTCTTGGTAACGAGACTTCTGCCTAGGGCCATACAGAGCTCAGCACTTGTCAACTTGGTACAATACCATCAACACACTAAGATCAGATTGGAAAGACCAAGGATGACTATTAACTATGTCTGGGGCATTCAAGTAAACCTGGCAATAAGCACGCAGTTTGTAAAGGGAGGAAAGAAAACAGAGACTATGCCCACTACCTTCTTCTACCTCACGACTGCCCCCTCACTCTGTTTCCATCCTGGCTCTCCCAACAGAGACCAACAAGAAGTGCTGATGTTAAACCCCAGCCTGAGAGATTCTTTTTTTTTTCTTTCTTTCTTTGTCAGAGAGGCTTTATTTAGTGCAACTCTATTGAAACCAGTAAAATAAATGACCGCTAAAAATACAGCCGCTGTGTTTGTTAAGCACATGGGAGAAACAATTAACTTATAGGTGGATCAAGATCACATGTTCTGTTGAAGCTGGGTAGAAATAAAGCCATGCCTCACTACTAGAGAAATACATCCTGTTATCCCATACAGTCATGTCACATACTGCACACAGCCTTGCCTTTGAAGCTACAGTAGTAAGACAGTGAGTATCGCAGCTCCCTTAACAGTTTGCCAATCCAATATACTATATTTAGTGCAGAACATGGTTTTATCCCATGTTATCATGATTAGTGTTCAAAGTGACAACAACATAGCAGGAGACATGATCAGCAACCTACCTGACAGCTCTGCATTTCAACACTGGAAAACTTTTAGCTCTACCAATCACAAAAATAAGATAAGGCACACAACAAAACCACATTCCTGCTCTGTTTTAAGAAGGTACCTACAAAGGAATTCAAGTCTTTTGGGTAAGATAAGGTGCTAACGAAGTTGAGGATCAACTTTTAGAAGTGCATCAGAAACAGACAGTAACCACAATGCTTCTCCTTTTGCCTGTCTTTGACTAGGAAGCTGCACATACTCCAAACACACGTGGTTCTTTCAGTGTCAAGTAAGGTGTAGATGTGTTGCAAAGGAAAGTGGAGTGATGCCAAACATCCAGGCAGTTTAATGCCCATCTGTGTGTGTCATCACCAAAATTATCTTTTAACTAAGTACTCCATGGCCTTGAGTCCTCTTACATGCTGGTTGTGGAGTTCACAGGGAGCCTGGTACATTTCCAGATCTGATATGAGAGCATCTTCCCATTCATTAGCAATCCACACCAAGGAAACATCAGCACCACAGCAGGTAAGGAAAACCTAAACAAAAGCAGTCCACTTTCAGCAGGTGTTATCTTCTCCCTGACTTGTCATTTAAAATGGATGAGTTATCTAAATAAAGAAGCTGAAAGGGAACTATAGCAACCCAAATTAGACTGTCTAGGCAAACCCCATATTATAAACACTACCCAAGATGAAATTCTTTTTGCTCTGCTCCACATCTCAAGTATCTTCATAAGAAGCATTATTTATAAGTGAAAAAAGTGTATATAAAAAAAAATCCATCACCCCCCCTATTTCAGAGTTTGCAGTCATCAGAACTGGAATTTGCCTTGTCGAGGTGTCAGGAGTAGACTGGTGTGACCAGTACCCCCTGCTCCTGACCCCTGGTAATGTGGCTAGCATAACTAACACCATTTTATAAGGCAAGCAGCCCTTCTTTGTGACTGAGCGGGTCACATATTCATTCCCTTTCCCCTCATTATCAGGCCCTGAAGGTCCTGTGAACCAAGTAGACAAACCAAACAGATTTCTTCTTCCCCTCCCTACCAGCCTCAAGATTCCTGGGCACCAGGTCGATTACTCCCTTCCTTACCGGCCTTGAAGATTCTAGGCAGCCGGCCAACCTGGTGGTGGTGATGACCCCATCACAGAACAGGGAAGCGTAACAGCACACAGAGCACTGTCCACAAAATCAAGCAGTTAGAAGTCCTAAGTGGGGAACTTGGGCCAGAACTGCTGCTGGACAGTGAGCCCCCGGTGGCCAGGGATGCCTCTGCTGTGATCTGCTTCCTCTGAGGACTGAGTGACTCGTATGCTTTTATACGATTGTCGAGTCTAGATTATGATTGTTATATGATACAGCAAACCATGTATTAAGATTTGACCTGATCTGCAGAGGGTCCAGGTGATTAGAAATAATAAGTTAAGTCATATTATAAATTCTGTATTACACTACTTACAAATTGTACTATACTGATTCTGCTTGTAGAAATCCTGTGCCATTCTAATCATAAGTTCTGTGCTATACTAATCATAATATCTTGTTAAGAAAATAAAGCTTTAATTGTAACTAAGTTTTAGTGCCATCATCATTCTGCCAGGGATCCCTAAAAGAACCTGCCTGTTCCCTTAGTGTCAGGTGACAACTGGTAAGCTTGATTAACAGGTTCTTGGGAGTAAATAGATGTTATTCTCTGGTGCAGAATTTACTTGTCACACACCACAAAATTATCCTGCTCACATGTGCTAAAAAAGAAGGGGGGGAGGGGGGGAACACAACCAACACACAAAGACATCTTAATAAATACTGGTGAACCTAGAACAAACAAGTAAACAAGCTAAAAACATTCAGTTCTGACCTCAAAACACATTGAATCTCTCGTAAAATATGCTACTTAAAACCTATGATACATCGATTTGAATGGGCATCAAATGTGAAATGCAAAGAAAGTATCTCTGTTCCAGTTTGCAGAACTTAGATTTTCCTCACAAGTCCCACGGCTTTCAGGTCTGCGTGGGGTATCTCATCATCACTTCATATACACAGTCCACTTACAATCCCTTCGCTATCATTTTCCAAGGATATGATTATGAAGTAATATAAAGTACTGCATTTTAAGAGCTTAATGAACTGAAGAGTATAAAACTGAACTTAGCAGTGAAAAGTCAAGTTCTACACCTGGAATAATCTCTCCTCTCAGTCACATTACCCTCTATATGAGCTGCCATTGTTAAGAAGAAAAAAAGTGAAACAAGGCGTTATGCATAAGAGTAAAATAAACTATACTCCATTTCAATATTAATTTTACTCTAATTTACAAAAGTTGCAGAACAGGAATTGGGAATTCAATGCCACCAAGAAATAGCATGTATAAGGTCAGAGAGCAAAGAGGTTGCTTAGCTGTACTCACCTAATGAATGCCTAAAATGCCTCCCACTTTCATATAAGTATATAAAGGTAACTTGTGAATTCACCAAACTTATTGTCTAGAAGATACATGTGCCATCAAACAATGAGTACCATTACACATAACAGTCCGTTACTTAAAGAGATTTAAAGGAATACTTTTCTTTGGACATGATGAAAAATAATTAACTAAATAAATAAATCTATTGGAGCCCAGCACCTAGGGGAAAAAAAAGAGAAGATTTACTCTGTTAGGTTGTTATTAGGTTAGATTATGTAAAAGAATATGCTGGCAGGAACGTGGATCATCTTTAAAGGTTCTCTGAAAAGGACTCTTGAGAAAACCAAAACAAAGAACTGAACCACAGGTAATAGACAAACGGCACATATGTAAGACGTATTATTATCTGTTAAAGTAGCTCACAAGACAGAAGTGGTGGAAGTAAAGCTCTGAAGCACCCGAGCCCTTCTCCAGTTAACATTAGTTTTGTAATCAGATCTGCACTGGCTTCCTGCAAAACACAAAAGAATCCAACTTCACTCACACTGCAAATTTGTTAGGGAAGAAGAAACAGAAAAAGTAGCAGCCAAAGAACTTGCAGCAGCCTTTTTCACCCACGCTTCCGCTGCTCTTGTGGCATGATCAACAGCACAGCTGTGCTGCAGAGCCACCCAGCTGGCACACTGCAGGCAGGAGTCAGCTCCCGTTGTGGGGAGCTGACTCACATTGGGGCCGTCCTGTGATAAGGAGAAGTGTGAATGTACTGTACTTGACATGAATTAATCCAACAAACCCCTATTCATTCTGCATTTTCCCAACATAAGGTGTGAAAAAGAGTTGAAGTGAAGGATACAACTTGGTTTAAGAATTTATTACAAACACTAAAATGGATTTTGTCTGTTCTTTTATTGTCCATTCATCCTTACAATGTAGGTCAGATTTTCAGGTAATAACGTAAACCTCTTTATTCCTTTTTTTTTTTTTTTTATACTTACTTACAGGTGTACCAAAAACTTGCAATCAAATTCACAGAACCAAAAGCCATACAAAGAACAGCTGTGTAAAACAGAGACAGTTTCTTGCTGTTTTAATATGTTGTGGTTAGGTCAAAGACTGCATCAATGACCTAACAGGTCTCACTTTTTTTTTATTTACACTTTTTCTCATCATTCATGCAGTGTTACACAGGAAAAAAAAACACCAAACAACACAAAAACTTGAAGTATGTATAAGAGGTCTTGACAGTTTCTGTTTTTACAGGGTTTGATAAAACTAGGTGAGTTTTGGGAGAATAATAAATTTGTTCTTACCAGGTTAATCCAAAAGTGTATTTTTCACATCATTGCTTATAATATACTTTTTTAAACACTTTTAAGTCACAGACTTCAAACTATACGTTATCAAAAAGAAAAAGCAAAACCTCCAGGGCTTCTGTAAAAGAGGGGGTTTCTGCAAGAAATCTGAGATCCTCTTCTACCTAATTAGCCCTCCAGAAAGCATACCAACAGAGGCATTTCATTTTTCCTCCATTGATCTGAAGAAGCATAAACACTTCACTCAGACACATGCACCACAAAAAGTAGCTTTTTCTACATTCATTTGAAAAGCTGCTTAAATAAACTTCCTTAACATTCAGTCAGCTGCACAACAAAAGAACATCGGGTAATAAATCTCATTTTAAACCAAGGAAG